TTTTAATAAATTACTTTTTAATATTTCACATAGGGAGAGATGATTTAAAATTTCAAATAAGACATATAAGAAACACAATTTCAGCAGGCAATATATTTATTTTACATTTTAAAAGTGAAGAATGATAAACTGTGCCAACAAATTTTCATTTTTTTTTAAAAAGATGTGAAATAAAAAATATTAAAATAAGAATCATGAACTAAAAGGAAAAGGTTCTATTATCTCTCTGCCAAAAATATACTTTTGCTTCACAGCATATCTTTTTTATAAGGCTATCTTTAGTATAAGGCTGGGTCAACTGAACTTTAAATTTATAGGACACCTCCTTTTATTACTAGTTTTATTTAAAAATCAAAAATATTTGGTACCTGAGGATAGCTGCAAGGGGGCGAATAAAGAGATGACAGTGGATTCAGGTCTTGAGCTATGATTCCTACCTGTACGAATCTATCAAAGCACATATTTCTATGTTAACTCTAAATCTCTTTTCTGCAGTATTTAAAAAGTGACAGTATGAAGTGCACAAAATAATATTAGTAATTACTTTAAAAAGGAAAATATTAATAGTTGCTTTGCCTTTTTTTGGAATGGCTAAGAAAGACTGTACTCGATATTAAGGTTCCTCTGTTTTAGTATTCTGTATTGCTTTGAAAAAAATCTACATTTGTCATAGTTCATAGCTGCCCTATTTAAGCAGCCAGGAAAAGTTAAAAATCACTGCTTATTGGCACAGCAAAATCTCTGCTAAGCCAACCTGACACAGTTTAAAATTTCCAGTGTATGAAGACTGTTAAGTTTTTCAACAACAGTCTTTCCAATCGTGACCAGGTCTTCACTGGGTCTATGAACCACTCTTCCAGTGGTGGGACTCAAGAGCAGCAGAGGAGCTCTTAGTGCTTCAGGTTCTCGACAGAAAGGAATGAAGAAGCCCAAATGTAATTTTAATATTTTATCTGCAATACTAACGGATTGGCATTCATAAGGAGGAGTGCGTGTGTATCATGATAGCCAGGCTGGAGCGCAAAAATTATTAGAAAGAGAATTTCCAGCTACACAGTGCACCCCAGTGAGGAAGTTACAAAACAGTGTTCCAGAAAAAATTTTTTGCTACTCCAGTATTGATTTGGCAACATGGTGAAATAGTCAAGAAATCTTCCACTGGTTTTCTCGGTTAATGGAGGCGAATCTGAAATAACTAGGTGGAATCCCAGATGCAGGCTTTTGGAAGAATATTTCACAACCAAACTGGAAAGTCTCTGGTAGAAGCCCTAGGTACATGAGCTCAGCGGTCAACTTATGTGTTAGCACAGTCACACGCACAACGATGCCTGTCAATGCCGGGCCCACGTTACTGCTTTTCAAAGTCCTTAAAGGAGAAAAAGGAAAAAAAAATAAAAAAGGAAAAACAGAGAAAGGTTGATGTTTTGGTCCCAGACTGTGAGTTTGTTAGAAAATGTACATTCATGTTTCGTGAATCAAAGACTCTTCTGGGAAAAGAATGCAAGTAAACAAACAAAACTTTTTACAGTTGCTATTAATTCTGTTTTCACCCTCCGCGATGCTGATTCACACTTCCTGCTTCCCTAGAGCAGAGCCCTCGGTGTGAAGCTGCACCAGCGCCCGTCCGCCCTCAGGGACAGAAGCAGTGCTCCTCCCAAGCCGTGTTTTCTAAGGCCACTATTAGACGGTCTGCGGGTCGCCGGCCTTCGGCGTGTGGAGACGGCG